TCTTCTCCTTCTCCTTCTTTATTGTGCTATAATAGTCTGTCTTTTTTTTTTCGCTACTTTTCCTTTTCTCTTTTTTTCTTTGGATCTATTCATTCATTCATTCTTCTACTTCTTCTTTTTCTTCTTCTTTTTTTTTAAAAAGTCTTCTTCTTCGTTTTGTCTTCCCATATTTAAATATAGATTTCCCTCATTTTAATAATAGTCTGGATCTCTTCTTTCCCTTCTTTCCCTTTTCTCATTCATTTCTTCTTCTTCTTCTTCTTCTTCCTTTTGGTTTTTATTGTTGTTGTTGTTGTTTTTCCAGAGCTTCTTCTTCTTCTTCTTCTTTGTTGTTCGTCTCGTTTGATAGACAATGTCCCTTCTTTTCGACTTTTCTCCTGCTCTTCTATGGATCTATTCATTCATTCATTTCTTCTTCTTTTTTTTTCTTCTTCTTTTTGTTGTCGTCTCGTTGACCTCATTTAGTTTTTCTTTTCCTTTTCTCCTGCTTTTTTGTTTTTTTTTTTTTTCAAAATTCATTTCTTTTCGTCTTCTTCTTCTTTATTTTCTTCTTTGTTGTCGTCTCGTTTGACTATTTTGTCCCTTTTTTTCCTTTTCTCCTGCTTTTTTCTTTTCTTTCATTTTTTCATTTCTTTTCTTCTTCTTCTTCTTCTTCTTCTTTGTTGTCGTCTCGTTATCTTACTTATTCCCTTCTTTTCATTCTCCTGCTATTTTTATTTTTCTATTTTTTTTTCATTTCTTCTTCTTCTTCTTCTTCTTCTTCTTCTTCTTTGTTGTTGTTCTCGTTTATTTCACTTATGTCCCTTCTTTTCCTCCTTTTCTTTTTCTATTTTTCTGGATCTATTCAATTCATTCATTTCTTCTTCTTTTTCTTCTTCTTCTTCTTCTTCTTTGTTGTCGTCTCGTTGACTGTCTTTTTTTTTCTTCTTTTCCTTTTCTCCTTTTTTTTTCTATGGATCTATTCATTCATTCATTTCTTCTTCTTCTTTTTTCTTCTTCTTCTTCTTCTTTGTTGTCGTCTCGTTGACTGTTATTGTCCCTTCTTTTCCTTTTCTCCTGCTATTTTCATTTTCTAATCAGTCTTCATTTCTTCTTCTTCTTCCTTCTTTCCTTTTCTTTGTTGTCGTCTCGTTTCTTATTCCCTTCTTTTCCTTTTCTCCTGCTATTTTCTATGGATCTATTCATTCATTCATTTCTTCTTCTTCTTCTTCTTCTTCTTCTTCTTCTTTGTTGTCGTCTCGTTGACTGACTTATGTCCCTTCTTTTCCTTTTCTCCTGCTATTTTCTATGGATCTATTCATTCATTCATTTCTTCTTCTTCTTCTTCTTCTTCTTCTTCTTCATTCTCTTATAATAGTCTATCTTCTTCTTTCACTTCTTTTCCTTTTCTCCTCCTATTTTCTTTGGATCTATTCATTATTCTTCTTTGTTGTTGTTGTTGTTGTTGTTGTTCTTCTTCTTCTTCTTCTTCTTCTTCTTCTTCTTCTTCTTCTTCTTCTTCTTTATTGTCTTCTCATCGACTGTCTTATTTACCTCCCTTTCCTCTTCTCCTTTTTTCTTTAGATGTGTTCATTCGTCTTCATCCCTTTTTGTTGTTCTTTTTTTTGTTTTTGTTGTTCTTCTTTACTGCCTTCTCCTTGTCTATCTGTCTAATTTCCTTCCTTTTCCTCTTTTCCTTTTTTCTTAAGATCTCTCCCTTCTTCTTCTTCTTCTTCTTCTTCTTCTTCTTCTTCTTCTTCTTCTTCTTCTTTCTACTATCAATACTACTATTACTACTACCCTTTGTTTTCTTTTTGTTATTTTCTTTGTTCATGTCTCTTTCATTTTTTTTTCGGAATTCTCAATCTCGCCCTCACTTTCTTCCCTCCGTTTCCCCAGATTCATTATTTCTATTATCTTTTTGATTCAAATATTTTTTTCCTTCTAATAATCTCTTTTTTTTTACTTCCTCTATTCATTTCTCTTTCTATCTCTATCTTTCTCCTTTGGTTTAAGGTTGTCAACGATCGTATCTATCTTTCTACTGGTTTCTCTCCTGTTTGTAGATTTCTCGTTTTTCATTCCTTTAAACTTTATTCAACCATATTCATCGTTCTTATAGAATTTGATTCGTGACACTCATTTCAATTCTTTCTGCTTACTTTTTTTTCTTTTTGTTTACAGCGACCTCGCTAGCTCGCCGTTATTTTCCAATGAAGTATATCTTTTCACAAACACATTAAAAAATAATCATTAGAATTTTAGGATTTGCTTGAGCCGCAAATATATTTTTCCTACTTCAGTATTTGTAGAGATATATGTCTTTTAATTTAATTAATCAATTGTTATTATTATTTGAGTTGATTTGATTTCCGGTGTGTACAGATTTCGTTCCGGGTCCCGCCTAGAGACCTAAGTTTAATAATTGCATCATGAAATTTTCCGCTGACAAAAAAAAAAAAAAAAAAAAAAATACGTAGATAAAGCCCTTCGTAATTTGTGGGCTGTACTCGTGAGAACAATTTTTTGTATTTCTTTAAGTCATGGGCTTCCAGGGATCCCTTCAATTCGTGTACTGGGATCTTTAAATCCGAAGGCTCCAACTACAACAGGCATTGTTGATGTTCCCATGTACCACGTTTTTGAGATTTCGATTTCATGATCCATGTATTTGGATATTGTTTTGAACATCTGGAAAGATACACTGCAGTCTGCAGGGACTGCCATATCAATAAGGAATCACTTTTTTTGTTTGCGGTCTTTAATAACAATGTCTGAGCGGTTGGCTTTGATTGTTCTGCCTGTGTGTATTGTGTAGTCCCATAAAATTGTAACAGGTCCTATCTTCGTAACCGGGTCTGGGTGGTGTTCATACCACTTTCTTTCAATATCCTTCCCGTAGAAGTTACAGATTTTTCAGTGTAGATATTGGCCGGGTTTTATATTCAGTGGGTGCCGATACCGTACAACCTGATACAAGATGATCAATTGTTTATTATTATTATTTTTATTTCCTTTGATTTCTGGTGTTTACACATTTTTTTCCGGTTCCCGCCCAGGGACCTAAGGTTAGAAATGGCATCATGACACATTCCACTGACAAAAAAAAAAAAAAAAAAAAAAATGCATAGATAAAGCCCTTCGTAAAGTGTAGGCTGTACTTGTCAGAACAATTTTTTGTATCTCCTTGAGGCATGGACTTCCAGGAATCCCTTCAATTCGTCTACTGCAGTCTAATTAGTCTCATTATTATTATTATTATTATTATTATTATTTCCTTTGATTTCTGTTGTATACACATTTCCTTCCGGGTCCCAACCAGAGATCTAAGGTCAGAAATTGCACCATGAAAAAGAAAAATAGAGAAACTTTTTTTAAAGAAAGCAGACAGCCTAAGATCAGGCACATTTTTACAAAAAGTTCTTCGTAAGGGGTGAGGTGTATAAATCAGTTGAATGTTTTGTATTTCTTTCAGGCATGGGCTACCAGTGATCCCTTCATTGAGTCTATCGGAGAACACTTTCCAATCAATCCGAGGGGTCTAACTACAACTGGAATGTATCAGATTTTTTGATTTCCACTTCAAAATCCATGTATTTTCATATGCGTTTTTAAAGATCTTCAAAGATACATTGCAGTCTAAAGGAACTCCGACTTGGATAATCTACATTCGTACCCTGGGTAAAACGATAAACTACGTCCAACAGCAAGGCCCCTGATCAGGAGGTTTTGAGGAGCGTGGAACCACCTCTTAACTGCTCGTGTCCCCAGGTCTAACCTGACTCAGGATGGTAGCACCTGTTAGTGACCTAGCTATGGACAAATTGTTACCAACCAAACTAGGGTCAAAACATGAAAATAGTATGAAAATAGGTTTTAATACCAGAAATATTTGTAAAAATATTATTACCAGCAATAAATTCTTGAAGAATAAATATTACCAACCATACATTAAAAAAGAAAAATATATTACCAGCTATACATTTTTGAAAAATAAATAATATCAGCGAAGGAGAATTATTACGAGTAATAGATTTTTGAAAGAAAAAATATTAGCAGAAATGAATTTTTGAAGGGAGGAATATTACCAGAAATAGATTTTTGAAAAAAAAATATTACCAACAATGAAAATTTTGTCAGCATTAAATAACCCATTGAGGTTGATATGCCGTAAAACAAACCAATCCAAACCAAACTGAAGGAACTGGTATGCCAATAAAAAGATTCTCTGTTTTTTTCTGGTTTTTGATCGTGATATCTGGGTGATTATTAAGTTTTTGTCTCACAGGGTACGTTTTTTAATACACCGGGTACATTAAGTTATCTGTCAAGTCACAAAACGACAGCAGACAGACAAAACTTTCTTCAAAATACGCGCAGTGCCGAAAAGAGTCAGTTTTTGGATGATTCGAAATTATTACGGTATCCCGGTGAATGTGAAGGAAGTTACATATTTTAATGATCCCAGTGTGCCAATGACTACTGGAATGAACTTCACATTACATTCCTGAATTCCCCCCCAAAATGCGATCTAACCTTCAAAATCAGAGGAGATCGTAATTCGCAGAGAAAATAAATCAAAATGTCTGAGATACACACTACTTTTAACAAAATTTTGGGAAGGAACATCCCATCAATATCAGAAATATCGACAACAGCGGATTTCAGTGGGGGTCTATTTTCATTAAAGTATTTTCTTTTAATAGAAAAATTTTGCGAATTTTCAACGCTAGTGTCATTGACTACTGTATTACTGAATTCCAAATGTTTCCTGATAAGGAAACGGCCCATCTTTTAATTACATTTAATTCAAAATTGTTTCTTAGACCATATCAGACTGGATGATTCTTAAGCAGGTTTGATGCCATTTTCTCGGCTTCTTTAGCGTTATGCATTTAAAGCAGAAAAAAGAGCTGACATCAGTTCCTGACTAAAGAAAGATGGCCTGCATAGCGAGCATTGGTGAGTAAAATCCGAGGGAGTTAAACCGAACGCAAAATCATTAATGAAGATGAATCACGTAATGTAAAACACAAGATGGAAACAGAGAGCTCGAAAGATTTAGCATTCACCCACCAAAATGGATGCCATTTTCTTAGTGCATAAGTGTTTAATTATTTGCACTTGTCTAATATTGCATTAATCTCAAATCATTTCTCGTATTTTAACCTTAATATTTCGAGTGTGCTACAGTTAGTGTGAAATATTCAAATAATTTTAAAAAAATACTTACAATCTTAACTCATTATTCCCGATGATGATCAAATTCAACATTTGTTATATATTTTGCTTCTTTTGCTAAAATTAAGTCTAGATGACTGATCTTGATTTGGTGATCTGTACCTACTGCTAGTTTACATTTATGTTGCCTTGTTTTGTAGCAAAGAACCATTTACCAGCTATTTACAATCAAAATCTCTGGTTTTTCATTGGTATTGTTTTGGGTAACAAGAAAGTAAACAAGGATAAAAAAAAATTCGGTTTGCACTACAGTCAAGCAAACGTAGACATAGGTCTTGGTTGTTTACAGGAAAAATTCTGAGACATAGGTTTGATTTGTACACGAGTTAAATAATTCTGAGACATAGGTTCGATTGGATAAACAGCCAAAAAAGATAGCTAAAGGTCTTATTGGTAAACCAAAACTGAGTGTATGCCAATTAACATTCGCAACAATCATGAGATCAAAACACTCTCAGACAACATCCTCAAATGTGTCGAAAACTACAAGTATCTAGGATCACACATCAAGAACTCTGAGAAAGATTTCAACATTAGAAAAGGCATAGCATGGACTGCTTGTAACAAAATGGATAAGATCTGGAAATCCAATCTTGCTCGTCAATTCAAAATCCAACTTTTTCGCGTACTTATTGAGCCAATCTTACTCTATGGCTCTGAAACTTGGACTCTCTCAGCAAAACAACAGCGTCGTTTAGATGGATGTTATACACGTCTTTTAAGAAGAGGGCTTAATCTCTCATGGCGAAACCACCCAACTCTAGAAATGATATATGGAGACTTGCCGAGAGTATAAAGTTTAGTTTGCAAGAGACGTGTCCAGTTCGTCGGGCATTGTGCACGTGCCACAGATGAACTTGTCTCATCATTTGTACTCTGGAGGCACCCATCATCTGACAATCGATCACGCAAGTTAACCTTTCCAGATAGGATAAAACGTGACACATTGATCCCTAAGGAAGATCTTTTAGGAGCTATGACGGATACGGAATACTGGAGAGGTGTAGTGAGTTCAATCTCGGCTGAGGCCGCAGGATGATGATGACGATTGGTACCAAAAACAAAAACCTTTGTCATAGATCCGGTTGGCTCGGGAATGACAAAAACGTAGACAGTTTGGGTTTGAACAAGCAGAAAAAGACATACATATAGGTCCGATTAGTACAAACCAATTATAAACATAGCTCCGAGTGATAGAAAAGTCACAACCCTTAGACCAAGTTCCGGTTGACACTTGAGTGAATAAAACGTAGACATATGTAGAGTCAAACAAAGGTAGAACGATAAACTACATTTGCGTCTTTGGTATGACAATATACATCCAGCAGCAAGGTATCTCATCAGGAGGTGTTCAGAAGCGTGGAAACATGTTTTAATTGATGCTGTCCCAAGGTCAACCCTGACCCGGGGTGATAGCACCTATTAGTGTCCCAGTTATGGGCAAATAATTACCCCCCAAGCTGGGGTTCAAACACTATGAAAGTGTAAAATTTTGTTTTAATACCAGCAATATATTTTTGAAGAAAAATATTACCAGCAATATTTAAAATACCAATCACTTGAAGAATTACAACCCGTAAACCCTGTGATTATGGCAATGAAAATGAGGTTAACAGTCTGAACAATGTAAATAGTTACACCTTATCTCAGAAATATAGGCATATAAACCATTTAGGTTGATATTATGTAAACCAAACCAAACCAAACAAGCGTAGACATAGGATGGTTTGTATAAATGTCAAAACCCTTAGACATCGATCAGATTTGTTCGCGAAAGACAAATGCTTAAGCATGTGTTTCGTTTGGACAAAAGGAAAAAATTATAAACAGGGGTCATATTTGTAGAAAATATAGTCATAGTTCCGATTAGTAGAAAAGTAAAAAAAACTTTGACTTAGGTCCAGTTGGTACAAGAGTAAGAAAAGCGTAAACATAGTTATCGTTTGCACTAGGCTCTAACCAACGGAGAAATGGGACAGGTTGATAGAAAAGTCAAAAACATTAGTCATAGGTCCGGTTGGCACGCGAGTGTCAAATGTGGAGGCATAGGTTTGGTTTAGACGAGCAGTAAAATGTTAGATATAGATTGATTAGCACAAACATATAAAAACAATATTACACAGAGGTTAATTTAACCTTTTATTTTCAAAGAATCGTAGATATATTTTTCGTTGGAACTAGAAGAAGAAAATCATTCGACAATTTACAGTTAACGTGTGACATAAGTTCGTTTATTTTTTCGGCGCCCGACATTTTCCTCGTTATTTACAGAATCATTTAGTTTTCATGAAAAATATGTAAGTAAACCTAACATTTAACTGCAGGATAATTGACAAAAATCTAAATAGGTCTGGTCTGCATTGCAGTCGAATAGAAGTAGATATTTTACAAGAGTGACAAACGTAGATATATGTTTATTTTGCACTGGATTAACATTGACATATGTTTGCTTAGCACTATAGAAAAAAAATATAGACATTGTACAGTAAAAAATGGACCCCCTTTTGCTGCGGATTTGGCTATTATACAAAGTGAGGCTGACGCTGAATGCGTAACCCTAACTGAGAACTCAAAACCAAAACAGCTCCCTATTAATCACCTGAGAGACCACATCTGCATGGCTGGCGCTATACTTTAGGAAAATGACTCATTGCTACTTCTCGAGCTAGCTTTCTCAGTTGACATTAAGTGGAAATATTATATTTAATCTATTGCTACTTCTGTTGTTACAAACTTTTTTAATCCTGAATCAATCTTACATATGTATTGTTACGGTTTTTTGGGTATATACCGTATATAACTAGTGAGCGAGTCAAAATGACTTATTTCCCTTTATAGTCGACCAATAGAAGGATGACCAATCAGAAGCCGCACAACACTGTATCCGTCGTGTATAAAGGCGGCCATCTTTGTTTTCCCTACCGGAATGACCAGAGGCAACTTTTCCGGCGAACAGGACAGACGGAAGAACTACGCTCTGCTACCTTGCTGCGATATCCACTGCTCACCTGAACTACGCTTTCCTACTGTCTCCGAAATATTCACTGCCAACCTCTGGATTCTATACTCGAAGACGACCGTCATGAAAATGTCTAACATCTATGTCTACCAGTAGTTCATGCTTAGAATATTACTGCCGCATATGCTCCTGTGTTCTTGCTTTATATTTAGAACTTCTTGATGAAATCCAAAGATGAATCAGCAATATTATTGCCTCTGACCTGATTTCTGGGTTTCAATTACTTTCCAACTGCTGTGGATTTCATGTTGCCTTTTCAATAAATATTTTATGGTATTTGTTTGTATGATAACTTTGCTGTAGTACGTAGACTTTATGAATTTAAGCGCAGTACTAGATTATCAACAAGGTCCCACCTGTTTACAGTTAAATTGTCTAGATATAATCGTAAGTTTTATGTTAACAGTTTTTTTTTTCTCGGTTAAAAAGTCTCTATTGGCTTCTTGTTTTCCAGACAAGTTTGATAAGCAAAAATATCAATGCAATGTCAATCGTTATCTATTGTCTTCCTGATTATTCATCTATTTTTCTCGCTCATCAATAATGCTTCTGTTATTTAATTCTATGAGAAACATTAACACCTAGTGTCACTGTGGATTTACTGCCCCATAATGAGAGGCTTCGTTTAAAAAAAAATCCAGTAATATGCTTATGACATCTATTTAATTGTATGAAGTAAACACCCCCACACACACATATATATATATATATATATATATATATATATATATATATATATATATATATATATATATATATATTGATCCATACGGCACGCTGTGACAACGATATCTTTTGATGCACCGATCTTGTCAAATATAGGTAACATGTTCGAACCGAAACACAATGCATTTATATGAATAAAAGGTCGTATATCTTTCATGCGTAATGCCTGTCGTATTTGTATTGCAATTTTCTAATTAAGAATTTGGAATATCTATCTATCGTTCTGTTGTATCTATAAAAAAGAACGTTAAACATAAAAATGTCTTTAATAAATAAATTGTCGGACTTTGTCCATTTCTTAATATATGACGTCATTTGTTTACATTTGATACGCCAGAGCAGTTATGAATGTACGAGATTCATGGAAGATTGAAGTTTATAAGCAGTAAATTCGACATTGCCTACCGAACGCTCCTTTGTGGCCGAGACGGTAAGGCACGTCAGCGTAAATGACGGTTCCGTATAGTATGCAGGTTCGAATCCTGCCAAAGGACGAATGTTTTCTATGAAAATTTCTCGGACATTCAGGCCGGTAAATTTTATTTAATGCTGTTTATTATAAACAGAGCATTTACTTAAATACTTGTATCTATAAAAAAGAACGTTAAACATAAAAATGTCTTTAATAAATAAACTGTCGGATTTTGTCCATTTCTTACTATCTATCTATCTATCTATCTCTCTCTATATATATGTATATCAATTTCACATCTAAGTAATGTTAACTATCTATTTCAATTCATCCTTTATTTATCTATCTAAGTATTTTAATTTATTCATGATTTTTCTGTCTTTCTAAATCAATTTCACATCTATCTATCTATCTATCTATCAGTACTAAATATGTAGCAGGTGGGAACAATTCCATGTAAAATACGCAGTTCAGAATGAAAGGTGTAGAGCAGGTTAATATCATAAAATGAATAAAATATTTACCTTATTTAACAGTCAGATTTCACTCGCACTGTATCATTAGTTGGGGATGCAAATTCTATCTATCTATCTATCTATCTATCTATCTATCTATTTAAGACCGTGCATATGTCTTCGATCATTTTATACAGTTGTCAATTCTTAATAATTACCCGCTTCTAGATGAATGTTTCGCATCTTGTTCTCTACGGACTAATAAATATTCGCCTGGGAATCATGTCTCTACCTAATAATTATATATTATAGCAAATTGTTTGAATAATAGAGGAAATATGACCGTGAAAGGTTTTCAGCAACCAGACTGTATTCGTTTATTTTAAGTTTCGAATATTTGGTTATTATTAGAAATTAGGAATCGTTTAGCAATTTTTTGGCTTAGTGTATTGTCATGCTTACAAAGAAATTATATTTCTTGTCCCAGTGTCTTAAGCAATGTTTTACGTTATTTATGTTAAAGTCATATAGAAAAATATCTCTAGTGAATCTTTATTATTTCCAATAAATTCTTAAACCTAAATGTATTTTCATCCTTTGAATCAGTCATAGATAAAAAAAAGTATCCCGTTAATAATATGCCATCTAGTGAATCTTTATTATTTCCAATAAATTCTTATACCTAAATATATTTTCATCCTTTGAATCAGTCATTGACAAAAAATATCCCGTTAATAATATGCCATCTAGTGAATCTTTACTATTTCCAATAAATTATTACAATCTAATTAGATATTCAGCCGTTAAACAATTTGCAAAACGTCGATAAGCCGTAAAAAAATAGTAGTTAATCAATCAAAGCCCATCGCAACAGAAGCCACCACAGCCAATAAATATGTGTGAGCGCATATTGATAAATAGAACTTAGAATAGTACAAGGCCAGCATATTTGCGCGCCCCTCAATCGCGAAATGACGACACAATCAAAGGACAGTGATATTGGCTTCCAAACAATCGCAGTGAACACGTGTCTAGGCGGATCAGTGGGCGGAAAAGATTGTAAGAAAGATGGCTACAATGGACTTTGATCGTCATTTACAAGATCTATATTCAATTGCGACCGTGCTTCCTCGCAGAGAGAAAACAATAAAAGACTCGATAATGGAACTGGAACCTAATTAAAACACTGGACTGTGAGAAACCGGCTTCGAAGAATTGTGTTGTTGTTTTTTTTTTTAACACCTCCTAATGGTTTCAAGCAAAATACAGACATAGACGCACTCCCGGACACCATTTCCGATATCTGTCTAAAATACACTGGCGAATATAATGCTTATTTATTACCCCAGTAACCTATATTTTGATACATTTATAGAAGCAACAAAGGAATTGCAGATACGGTGAACAATGATCGCCCACATCCTGAAGCAGGTCAGGAGGCGAGAGAAACAAAGAGATCACGGAAGACAACATTTTTATATTTCTTATGAAGAGTAAAACCAGTGTTATTAGAACGAAAAAAAATAAAGAAAAAAAAAAGGAAAAAAATAAACAAATAAAAAAAATCGTCAGATTCAGGAAGAGACGGTTAAAATTTTTCCGACGCATAATAAGGAAAGCTTTCTTTTAAAACTCGACCCTCATTGGGCTTATCGGGAGCAAGGTTTATGTGGTTGTTTAGTGACATATCAATTTCTTATGTGTCCCTTAATACTGAAATAAAATTTTCTTGGGAGACATTAATAATTTCTTTTACAAAAAGGTATTTCTGATCATTTTTAGTATGTGGTGTGAAGTAAATAAGACACCTACAGTAACACAAATGAACTAGGCATGACGCCTAAAATAAAGAACACAAAGTGTGTCAGATAAATCTGCCGCAGTCAGGCAATCTGCTGTGTGGCTCGCGATTGTCAAGATCTTTACCTTCGGGAAGAGTACAACACAATCGTGGCTCTATCTACGGAGGGAGACTCGGCTGAGAAAAATTGACAATGTAAAGTAACCGACCACGTAGTTGAGGATGGATATTGACCATTGGCGGGGATGTACACGCTCGAGTTCCCCATTTTAAATGACGTTGTGTCACATCTCGTCTCAGAGGGGAGAATGGGTAAATACCAGAACGCCGTCACCGTGTAGTCCACAGACTGTCTCGCGATTGTCAAGCTCTCTGTCTTCGGGATTATTGCGACTCATTCGCGATTCTGTCTACGGATGGAGACTATTCAAAGTGGCCGGTCGCTGGCTTGCAGAAGCTGGATAAGTTTTTCCCTTCTCCTCCCACACTAAATTCGACTTTATAAGTAAATACCAGTCTGTTGAAATCAGTCGGAGAGATTTCTAAAGTAGTTATGACGAGTAAGATAAGACATTTTATCCACTAGGCGTGAGTTATGGGCTATAAGACCATGAAAATGTATTGCTGGTAACTTTACTGTATTTTTAAACTTTCAACGGGCTCTGATATCAGCTGGGTCTCTAACAGGCGCTAACAGTCCGGGAATTGGTGGACATAGGAACGGCGTCAATTAAGAGGTGGTTTCCCGCTCCTCAAAACCTCCCGATTAGAGGCCTTATAATTTATATTCATACACAGGATAAGCAAGAGAGATAGAGCAAGGTAGGTAGGTCATCTACCTGACTAGCGTGTGGGACTGGATGGCATAACGGTGTCCGGGACGGTTAACAAATGTAGAATCTCTGCTGAGGGCTACAAGGAATAGGAAGTTACGGAGAGCCATGAAAACGTACGTAGGAAACGACAAAAATGATAAATTTAAGGATTGAATAAGATCCTTGTGAGTTCCACGAATACAAATAACCGTTAAATATTCCAGCTTCAAATTAAGGAAATATTTCTATGACCATCAGAGGTTTGACTGCAGTTCCTTATTTTAAGAGAGGACGGTAAGTGTGAGACTGGGCTCCGAAGACGTACTGGGAAGGACACATTCCAAAAGCTAGGCAGCGTATCAAGAGATGATTTCTTTGATAATAAAGACAAGAGTACCGAACTGCTACGTGGTATCCGCCCTTCCTTACAGTAGCCAATGTGAGATGGTGTCCTCAAAGAGGAAGAAGAGTCTCAAGACGGCGGAGGTATGATTCTACAGAAGGATGCTGAGGATATCATAGACCGAGCGTGTGAACGATGAGGTTTTAGACAGGAGTCAAACAAAGAGGAAACTTATACTTAACATCAGGAAGACGCAGCTGGAATTTTTGTGACACGTAATGAGAAAGGTGGGTTTGGAGAATCTGATACTCACAGGTCGAATATAAGGAAAGGGAAACAAGGGAAAACAACACATGACATACTTAGCGGGCTTTAGCAAGTGGATAACAGAACAGGGCCTGAGGGAAGTAGCAAAGGGACAAAACTAGAAGGGATGGTAGAAGTGGAGAGACATGATCGTCTACGTCCTGAAGGGACACGGCACATAAAAACAAAGAGTACAAAAGATTTAAAATTGACAATATTACACAGACGCCTTCACTATATTCCCTTTCTTTCTCTCTTTATTTCCTTCATATTCTCATCACGTTTACTTTTTCTTTCTTCTTTCCATTCTTTCCTTCTTTTCTTTTTTACTTCTTCCTTACTCCCTTTCTTTCTTTCATTCCATCTTTCGTTCTTTCATTCATTCTTTATTTTTCCAGTGAAGTCCATTATTTATTAGGTACTGACAGGTCATAACGTACACGTTAAGTAGAAACATAAGAAACAGGCTGAATTCGTTCGTTCGTTCGTTCTTTATTTTTTCATTCTTTTTTTCCATCTTTCCTCGTTACCAAAACGGAATAGTCCATTATTTTTTAGGTACTGACAGGTCGTAACGTACGTGTTAAATAGAAACATAAGAAATGAAGGAACAGGCTGAATTCGTTCGTTCGTTCGTTCTTTATTTTTTCATTATTTATTTCCATCTTTCCTCGTTACCAAAACGGAATAGTCCATTATTTATTAGGTACTGACAGGTCGTAACGTACGTGTTAAGTAGAAACATAAGAAATGAAGGAACAGGCTGAATTCCCTTCGTTCGTTCGTTCTTTATTTTTTTCATTCTTTTTCCATCTTTCCTCGTTACCAAAACGGAATTATCCATTATTTATTAGGTACTGACAGGTCGTAACGTACGTGTTAAATAGAAACATAAGAAATGAAGGAACAGGCTGAATTCCTTCGTTCGTTCGTTCTTTATTTTTTCATTCTTATTTTCCATCTTATTTATTGGTACTCGTTACCAAAACGGAATAGTCCATTATTTATTAGGTACTGACAGGTCGTAACGTACGTGTTAAGTAGAAAACATAAAAATGAAGGAATAGGCTGAATTCCTTCGTTCGTTCGTTCTTTATTTTTTCATTCTTTTTTCCATCTTTCCTCGTTACCAAAACGGAATTATCCATTATTTATTAGGTACTGACAGGTCGTAACGTACGTGTTAAATAGAAATATAAGAAATGAAGGAACAGGCTGAATTCCTTCGTTCGTTCGTTCTTTATTTTTTCATTCTTTATTTCCATCTTTCCTCGTTACTAAAACGGAATAGTCATATTATTTATTAGGTACTAACAGGTCGTAACGTACGTGTTAAATAGAAACATAAGAAATGAAGGAACAGGCTGAATTCCTTCGTTCGTTCGTTCTTGATTTTTTTATTCTTTATTTCCATCTTTCCTCGTTACTAAAACGGAATAGTCCATTATTTATTAGGTACTGACAGGTCGTAACGTACGTGTTAAATAGAAACATAAGAAATGAAGGAACAGGCTGAATTCGTTCGTTCGTTCGTTCTTTATTTTTTCATTCTTTATTTCCATCTTTCCTCGTTACTAAAACGGAATAGTCCATTATTTATTAGGTAGTGACAGGTCGTAACGTACGTGTTAAATAGAAACATAAAAAATGAAGGAACAGGCTGAATTCCTTCGTTCGTTCGTTCTTGATTTTTTCATTCTTTATTTCCATCTTTCCTCGTTACTAAAACGGAATAGTCCATTATTTATTAGGTACTGACAGGTCGTAACGTACATGTTAAATAGAAACATAAGAAATGAAGGAACAGGCTGAATTCCTTCGTTCGTTCGTTCTTTATTTTTTCATTCTTTATTTCCATCTTTCCTCGTTACTAAAACGAATAGTCCATTATTTAGGTACTGAC